TTACCCTGTAGCCGTTTTTATCCAGATTCTTGGCAACAAAATCAGCCTGCTTCTTAGTGTTGATGAACACAATAGCTGTCTTATCTCCAAGCTCATCCAGCAATTTCTGCAGTTTATACATTTTCTCTGATTCCTTTACCATAAACACGTGCTGAGTGATGAGGTCAGTAGTCTTTCCAGCAGTGCCAATAGTCACAACAACAGGATTTCTCAAGTATTTTCTAGCCAGCCGCTCCACAGCAGGTGGCATGGTAGCACTGAACATATAAGTGGTTCGATAAATTCTCTTCTCATCAAGCTCTTCATCCTCATTCTCCGGTTTCATATTACTTGAAGGCATAGCATCCAGTACACCAACAACTTGAGGCTCAAAACCCATGTCAATCATACGGTCCGCTTCATCAAGAACAACATAATTACACTGGTTCAGAACACAATAACGTCTCTCCAAGCAATCAAGAAGTCGCCCAGGGGTTGCAATCACAACTTCACAACCTTGCCTAATCCTAAAACCTTGCTCCTCTATGGACTGCCCACCAACAATAGAAACAACTTTGATACCCAAATAGTGTGCGAACTTGACAGTCTCATCCTCAATTTGTTGAGCAAGTTCTCGTGTGGGGGCCATAACAACGGCATATGGCCCCTCCGCCTCATTCTCCTCACTCAATGGAGGAAGCCTAGTGATATAAGTCAACATAGGGAGAACAAAAGCAGCAGTTTTACCTGAACCAGTCTCTGCAACGCCAATCACATCACGCTGTTGAAGTCCAAGTGGAATGGCAGCCATTTGTATGGGAGACGGCTTCTTGTAGCCAGCCCTATCAACAGCCTTGAGCAACTCAGTAGTTAACTTGCTCTCGACCCAATTCCTCATTGGACGGGGTATCCTCGACCCCTTGTATGATATATTGTGATCCTCCCTGAATATCCTCCAATCTCTCTCTGTCATTTCCTCTAGCTTCTTGTCTGACCAATGGCGATCGACCCTCATGTCAAAAGTGTCATACATGTCGGCATCCTGTTCCTTCTTCTTCAGGGCAGCTGCTTCTACGGCAGACTCCTCAACGCCATCCTTTTTCCAGATCTCCTCCCGCAGCTCTCTCTCATTCTTGGCAGCAAGCTTCTTCTGCTCCCTCCGGTCCATTCCAGCACGGAATCCGCGACCAAAGAGTAAGCGGGCTTCGTGAGGGTTTTGGTATAGAGCGTTCATGTCGCGAGATGTGTCCTCGGTGTTCTCCCAATCAAACGAAAATCGGAATTTCTCACTAGGTTTAATCACCCGCTTCTTAGGTTTTTTGGAGCCAAGGTACTGCTCTTTGATTGCATCAAGCTCTTTCTCTCGCTCTCGCTCAGCTAATTTGTCCAGTCGAGCTCGCTCTCGTTCCTTCACCTCTTCGTCACGCTCCCTCTCGCGCTTCCGGCGCTCCACCTCCCGGTCCCTCGACTCCCTTTCTCTTTCCCTATCTCTGTCTCTGTCTCTGTCCCTGTCCCGGTCCCTGGAGCGATGGTGGTCACCCCTACTATCTCTGTCACGATGATCTCGTTCATGGTCGTTATCGGTGGAGGAAGGGCGGTTGTTACCCTGTTGTTGGAGAAGCTGTTCGGCCCGCCGTTTCTGTTCGGCGATTTCATCGTGGCGGCGCTGTAGGGCTAGCTGCTCTCGCTGTGCTTTGGTGAGGAAGACGGGCTTCTTCGTCGGATCCGGTTTGGTAGTTCCGAGCTCGTCCACTGACCGACTCATATCGTCCGGCTGATGCAGATAGGGTTCTTGTAAAAGGGAAAAAGTCGCGATACCGTTTTCTCCTTCTGATGATCGATTAGGGTCTTTTTAACAATATTTCACTTTAGTTGTGCAAGACTAACAATATGCATCACGCTTTGAACACAAAAACAATCAAGTAATTGTGGTGTTCAAGTCTGTTTTTGCGCGAATTAAAATTGATGTAGGAAAATAATTTGGTAGTCGTGATGTTTAGATCTATTTTTACATGCACTAAAATTAACACTTAAAAAAATAAATATGGAATTTGTGATATTCAAATTTGTATTCGCGCACATTAAAATTAATGTAGGAAAATAATTTGATAGTCGTGATGTTTAGGTCTATTTTCGCATGCATTAAAATTAGTATAAATTATAGGAACCACATATTATAAATACAAAATGACCATTTATCCCTTTAAGAATTGAAATTACTAAAAATCCCTTAAAAAGCAAAGAACCGGGATACATCAGTCTGGCACGGGATACATAAGAACTGATACATCAAAGTTAAAGGCTGTTGCGATTAATTAGGGTTAATTAACGTGATTTCTGTTAAGAATAACAGAAATCACGTAATTAATGGTCATCAGATTGTGTAACGGATTAGTAGGGATACATCACTCTGGCAAGGGATACATCACTCTGGCACGGGATACATATTAACTGATACATCATAATTAAAAGGCTGCTACGATTAATTAGGATTAATTAACGTGATTCCTGTTATTCTTAACTGAAATCACGTAATTAATGGTCATCAGATTGTGTAACTGATTAGTAAATTCAAATTTTAAATCAGATTAGCTTCATAATTCAAAAATATTCTTGTAAAGGTTGATCTGCATACTAAGAATTAAAAAAAAAAGGTTTTGAAGATGAATATCTCAATTCTGCTGCGGCATTCTGGAATTTGGGTAAGCAATATTAATTATAGACAAACGCAAATTTTATACAAATATTGCAGAGAAAAGGTCAACGAATTATACAATTGTGAATTATACAATTGCAGTGAAATACAATTTTCTCTAGCTTTATACAACAGAAGTGTATATATTGTGTTTCTATTTTCGTATAAAGCGAGAGAAAAACATATATCTTCTTGCTATACACTTATAATTATGCAATATACATACATTTTAATTTGGTTCAATTATATGCAAAGCAAATTGAATGAATGAGAAAATCTAGTTAGATGGAAAGATAGTCCTACAAAATAACAAATAGATATGGATGAAAATTTGAAGGGAATTCAAAATTTACCTGCAAGTGGAATGGGGAATTAAAAGTAGAAAAGAACTCACACGATGAATAAGCTGAAGGAGAAAATTTGGTAGATGGAAAGAGAGTCCTAGAATATCAAATAGATATGGATGAAATTTTAACTGGAATTCAAAATTAACCTGCAAACGTGTGGAATGGAGAATTAAAAGTAGACAATTATACACCTACAATATAGGGAAATAAAAAGGAAAAGGAATAAAAATTAATATGGTAAATTTTAATTGGGGATGTTAATGGGGAAGTGGGTAGCTTAAAAATAGGATTTAGTTTTTGGTAAAGTAAAACTTGCCAATTGGGTGAAAAAAAGGTGGAAAATCTTGATGTATCTTTTATATTTTTTTGAATTGGGGGAATAAGGGATTTTTGAAATTTTTAAAATAAGTTGGGATAAATGGTTATTAAGATAATTAAAGTAGTGTATTTAAGTAATTTTTCCTTAAAACTAACACAAAAAAATAAATACAGTACTTGTGTTACTTAAATTTGTATTCGCGCGCATTAAAACGAACAAGAAAAAGTAATTTCATAATCGTAGTGTCCAATTTCGCAAGAATTAAAACTAACACGGGGAAATAATTTTTGCAACTGCGATGTTCAGGTGTGTTTCGCAGGCATTAAAACTCACAATGGAAAACAATTTGGTAACTGCAATGTCTAGATCTATTTTCGCGTGGATTAAAATTATTACGGAGAATAATTTGATAAATGTAATGTCCAGATGTGCATGTGCGTTAAAATTAACATAGAAAAACAATTTGATAACTGCGATGTCCAAATTTATTTTTTGCGTGAATTAAACTAACATCCAAAAACAATATTTCTAGGTCTATTACCTCCAAATAGTAACAACATATAATAGATAACTCGATAAAAGAAGATATGTTTGCTCAACCCACTTCATTACATATTAGTCATATTCATTAATAATTCTATGTTATCAAAGTTTTCAAAATTGTCGTCCATCAAACCTAGCGGATCCCTCAATTATCAATTGAGATATCGAATTTCATTTTGTTTGGTAGAATCTTGTTAGAGTGGATAAAAGCTCCACATTGGTTGGAGAATGAGTTAGTGGTCTCCTTCTATGAGTTTGGACAATTCTTCCCTCATAAGTTAGATTTTGAGATTGAGTTAGACCCAAATGTCATTTTTTTTATTTGGTATCAAAGCCAGGTCATCTCAGTTTGGACTCCCACCCAGTCCACGCTCCTGTCAGGTTCGGGCGTGAAGAGATTGTTAGAGTGGGTAAAAGTCTTGAGTTAAGCTCACGTGTCATATTTTTACAAATATAATTTCATTTATGAAGTCTTACACTAGCAAACTAATAAAATCAGCTCTCAATTTAACTATTCGATTTCACATCAGTAATCTATAAACTCATAATTAATAAACTCAACTCTCAATTTTATCATCTGATTTCATCTTACTAAACCTTTAATTTCTTCTCGGTTGTCCGGATTAAAGCACTTGAAGAAATGACAAATCTTTAATTTCTTCTCAGTTATCTAGATTAAAGCACTTTTAGAAATGACTTCTATCTCTTCAAAGTAGGTAACATTAGGAACATGTCAAGATGTGAAGCCCATTACGATTAAAAAATCACTTTAAGAAATGACTTCTATCTCTTCAAAGTAGGTAACATTAGGAACATGTCAAGATGTGAAGCCCATTACGGTTAAAAAAGCACTTTAAGAAATGACTTCTATCTCTTCAAAGTAGGTAACATTAGGTACATGTCAAGATGTGAAGCTCATTACGGTTAAAAGAATAATAAAAGTCTTATTTTAGTAAATTCTTTATAAAGTTTGGACAATTTTTCTCTCGGAACTAGATTTTGCCATATGATTTAGGTGTAGAACCTAATTTTAGATGATATCATAGCAAAACATATCTCACCCAATGTTAACCCTGTAAAGCAATAAACTGAAGCTGATGGCGGCTAGTACCGTTGGTTTAACTTAAATTCTGCAGAAAATTTGCTTGTGACTATGCAAGACTCTTCAGAGTACGTAGTACCCCATTGACTTCGACTTTACTGATATATAAATTGGTTCCGTTCGAATCTAATCTTATAACTACATAGCAGATCAATAACAGGCCAAAATGCGACTAAAAAAGAGAAGCGAAAAATCATGAGAAAGAATTGCTAGTTACTGGCAAGCTACAACTGTAGGTTCCATTGGGATGGAGCTATCTCTTTCACACATTTCAGGAACAATGCTTATGATCCCTTCTCCCTGCGATAGTTAACATGCCAGAATGTTAGTGACTTCCAATTTCTTCTTTGACGTGTTATGACAGGCAATATTTTTCATTTTTAGGTGACGCGGTAGTCACAATGTAGAAGTTAATTGAACTTGTATTGTATGCAATTAAAATTGTCATACCTTGGCGATATTTCTGAAATATGTAGTGTTATAATTTCCGGTAGGATATAAAGCTTCGACAATATCTGCTAGGACCAGTTGGGGTTGAGAGACAGCTCCATCGTACCAGTCTTCAACAAGCGAAAGATGAACATTATCAGTCCCAGAAACAATAGAAAACAAGGTTCTCTATTACTAATTAAATTGGTTATGCATTCAACTCCAAATAATCTTTGAAACACTAAGAGAATCCTACCGAGGACTACAGAATTTTGCACTCTTTTATCATATCTCCATATGCTTTGATTTGTGAGAAAAGCAAAGCAAGTTTGATCTTCCAAATTGATGTTTCCGAGAAATGTGGAGCCATTATAAGCCGCTGGATCTGAGGTATATGTTTCATCAATCACTACATCCACAGTCTACAAAACAAAAAACAAAAAAAAAAAACAAATGAGCGGAAGGAGATTTGACATATTGATAATTTAAATGATCAGCTGAGAGAATTAACATACACACAAAATGGCATGAATCTCTTCCAAATCATCAGGGTTAGACATATTGTATGTGACTTTGTTGATGGAATCATCAACATTGACTCCACCAGCATCCTCTACAAACTGCATTGTCAAATTAGTATAGCTAAACTGGAGAAACTGATCAAAAAACTATTGAAACTTGAAAGTGAGAAAGATCTAACCTTTAATTTGTATGGATCTCTTGTAAATGACCACACTCCCTATTCAAGAAAACAGGTGTATGTTAAACGGAAACTGTAAAACAAATGATTATTGTAAAAAAGTTGGGTTCACGAGTGGGTGTACACACATCTTTATACTCCATCCAAGAGACAGTTGGTTTTAATGAACTCCTACCAGTTGCAGCTTTGCTCAAGCACAAATAGTTCTCCTTAATCTGTCCATAAAAGAAGCAAAATCCTTAATAAACAAGAAATTCTTCTAACTATTGTCATCATATTGGAAACTGAGGATGTCTGATTTCTTCACTTACTGCATCGTAAACTTGGTTTGCCCTGTTTTCCATATTCGCAAAAACTCCCAAGTACTTTATCCACTCTGCACGCTGTTAAAGTAGTACAAATTGTGTGTAACCATCTAACCAGAGATCAAAGCAAAGCTCCGCAAAATAGAAAGAACTTAATTGCATTGTCAAAGTGTGTTAAATCTTTAGTCCCTTATGTACCTGGAGAGGTGCATCTTCACCTATAGGGACAAATGTAGCAAAGTTGCAGGGTTGAGCTTCATCCGTGTTGGCGATGAAGTGAGCTGCATATTGTGCAAGTTGTTGATGGTCAGTCTTGTTAATGCTCTCCACTTGTCCGTCCTGGTATAGTTTCAGTACACATTGGGAGGCCACGTATGTTGATGTTATGCCTTTCAAGTTTCCCAATAGGCCTAGAAGCTGCAATATTCCACGCAAAAATTTTCAATCTAGTAATACAGCTATCAGAATAATACTAAAACTGTGCATTCTTACCTCGAAAAAGGAAACTGTGAATTGAAGGAAAGAAAGAGAAGAAAAAGAGAGAAACAGTCAGTGCATGAGTTATCAACGCGTACCAAAAAGACATATAAAGCTTATAATATGATGTTATAAAGTGGGAAAAAAAACAAGGAGGATGGTTAAAAATGGTGTACCTGGAAAAAAGTAGTCAGTCTCGATCGAGTAGTTTGCTAGTGGGATAACAAAAGACTTTATTCTTGAGGTGCAATATTTTGTTCTACTGGCCATTCTTGTGTTGTTCTGCATAAAATTTACATTCTAGTAAATCAGGAGAGAATTGGTTTCCTAGAATCATATTGTTATGATCCTATTGCTAGGTATGGGACTTTGGTTAAATGAAGAGCTGATGCGGGGCTCATATAGCCTTGGGCTCCCCCACCATAATAGCTAGCTTTAAAGGTGTGGGCATGTGGCTATGTAGCCTTGGGATCCCCCACCTTAATAGCTAGCTTTAAAGGTGTGCAGCGTGTGGCTGTATAGCCTTGGACTCTCCCACCTTAATAACTAGCTTTAAAAGTGTGCAGCGTGTGGCTGTATAGCCCTGGACTCTCCCACCTTAATAGCTAGCTTTAAAGGTGTGGGCGTGTGGCTATATAGCCTTGGGCTCTCCCACCTTAATAGCTAGCTTTAAAGATGTTGTTCTCCCAAGGTTGTATCACGTATTCTTAGATTACAAAAGAACTAAGAACTTGCAACTAGCTGGAATTCACACAAAAGCATTTTGTTAGAGTATATGACCAGTTCTGAATTCCAATATCAACGCGGACACCAAGGGTGTTCAAAATTACTATATATGCATATTCCAGCAATGAACCCCCTCTCTCCCTGATTGCGGATAAATATATAGATCTAGTTGAAAGAATTTTAAAACAAAGAATCTTCAATCTCTATAAGTTCTGGTTCTGTCAAAGGTATGCTCTTATACATGGCTGTAAAATCCCCTGGCTTCTCCTAAAAAGGGAACAATAGAAGACGAAAACGAGCTAATTCATGACTGTATTGATCAATAAGAATAATGTAGCTGTAGGTAGTGACACTTTTACTTTTTTTTCTGCAGATTGATCATTTAGCCAAGAAAACAACACCAACAGAAAGTTCAAAACAAAGCAACTTGTGCCATGGAATTCAGCAACCAAGAAGTACTTTGTGAGTTGTTGGATTGCCAACTACAGAGGACCAAATGAAAAGAAGTATAACTCTTTTTCATTTTAAAAAAATATTCTTGACCCTACTACTTCCAATGTCCAACTTTTGTGGTCCAGTAACCCTTATCATCTTCTTTTCAAGTAAATTCTAGCCTGGAAATATCTTCATCTTTTTTTTTTACAGTTCTAACTAAATTCAAACAAGACTAAAGGTGTGAAAAGTATTCACCCAATTAGAATTGGTAACAATAACCTACTATTATAACTTAAATATACGCGGACATTGTCGGTGTATATCACTTAAATCCTACTTCTTGCCAGAGTCTGTTCTAGCAATGAACTATACAATAACAATTACATAATCTGTTCGAAATAAATGTAGTTACCTGGATAAGAAGATAACTCTTTCCATCAAGGGTGTTCTTAATAACTTTGAAGGTTTGTCCATAGTATATCCTAAAATATGCAGAATCTCCCACTTTTGATATATTCCCAACTTTCACTGTTGGAATTGCTGCATTTGCATAGTCTAAACTCTGAATGCACCACAACAAAACAAACAAAATTTGCACCACATACAAATTAGTAGAAAAATGTGTGAGTAAATACATATTTATGTGCACATACACTGACAAAATTAGGCTAGGGGATTTAGTGAAGGGGTGAAAGAAATGCGAACACTTATAATACTTTCTAAAAGTATAATCAGAGTATCAGTGTAATTTAATCGGTTATAACAGGGATTCAAATATTAAAAGTAGGTAGTGGAGGGTGGGGACATACTTCACAGAAACAGTTGAATTTGGGGTTACGAATTATTTGAGTTCAGTAATGTTGGCATGTGAAAAAAGGACTGTACCTTTTTAGTATTAAGTTCTTTTTACTGGTTATTTCCAATTTATGTGACCCGTGAGTACACTGAAAACATTAGACTTGTTTTTGTCATCTTGTTTCTATATGTTTTCTATTTGTTCTAAAGTGCTCAAAATTTTTCTACTGTTTTAGCATCCTTCATGTGCTGCCCATTACCATCTTGCCACCTCCTTAATTCCTTATATACAATAATCTTTTAATATTTAAGAATCGTTTGCTGCGCGAACTAAATATCCTATAAATATGATGAGAAATTATGAGAAGGATTATTTTGTGAGATAGGAGTAACGATATTTCAAACAAAAGATGTGAGTTTATATTTCTTTCATCGTATCTAAATAAGTAAAAGAACTTACTATGGGTAGAAACGAATTTAAAATTTAAAATTTAAAGTTAAGTATATAAGTTAGATTAGAAGTATCGAATTATATCAAATCCTACTTCCTATCACAAACCCCCTTCCCACTTTTGGGAATCAAATTACTATATATGATATAAGTTGAATCCATATTACAATTGGGGAAAAGTAAATACAAATAGAGATATATAAAGATTTTATAAAGCCACAACAAAAATTTGGTGCTTATTGTAATCATTTAAACTTTATTGGGAGAACAAACAAAGAGTAATGGAAGTAAAAGTAGTGCATGAAAAAGGAATATAAACAAGAAAAACTTGAAGAGACAGACAAAAAGCATAAATAGTTGAATGTACAAGTACAATATTGGGCAGACACTTTTAGGTAAAAAGAAGAAATAAATGAGGACAAAAAGAAACCAAACAAAAGCAAAAACATATGAGCATGTGAGTTGGAGTTTGATGCTTTTGCTATCTTTAAGTCTTATCTTTGCTATATTTTCACAGACTCAACAGTTCTAAGCGTGAACATTCAACTATCCATTTGCAAAAATTTGTTAAGGTACTCAATGAATGGCACCACAACTTTTTCTTTTTCGAAATTCAGTGATCTGACTAATTCAAATTTAAAAAGATATGACTCTCTTATTATCAAAATGTTTACGATTAAAGATTCCACATTTTTTTATTTCACGCTAAATGTAGTGAATGGAAAAAGTAGATGAATACTTTGTCATTCTCCAAATTAAGATGAGCAATAAATCATGACTCAATTACAAAACAAAAACTCGCTTATATTAAAGTATAATTTGATAGAGAAAGTACATTTATATTTTTTGTATCTAATTCAAGGGGGAGCTCTTAATATTAGGCCTTCCCCAACACAACTATAGTTAGCAATACAAACAAAATGTTAAAATGTGAAAGAAAAGAAAAGAAAAGAAAAAAGTCAAAATGAAGGGACAATAATATGATGCAACCAAATGCTAGAAAGAGCAACTACAAGTGTAAGATAATTTGGCCATTTCTTTTCCACATAGCAACAATATTTGATCCCTTCTTCTTGTTTTTCCCCAATTAGGAATTTATTTTGCTCATAAAAATCCCATTTAAAATCATGAACTTTCTTGATCTTCTTCTCCACCCCCTCTATTAAGCAACATTCTTCATAGACACCCTTCTTGTCTTCCAATTTGAAACCTTTTACCTCCAACTCCAAACATTCACCAAAATAGATCCAAAAAGTTTGTAAAATTGCAACCATACCCACCAAAGTTCTCATAGTTGTTGTCCATGGTCTAGTGACAAAATTATTAATTGAACTTTTGGGAAAATCATGGAGTGGAACTAGGTTTTTGTGAATTTTAAGTGTCCTAGAAGGTGTCACTTGATGATAAAAAGTCTTGGATGCTTGCCTGGTAGCTATAAAAAACCCATGATTCACTTCAACTTTTTCATACACTTCAAAGCTTGGGGAATTTGAAAAACCATCAATGTCACCATCATTATCCAAAAAGTTGTCAAATCCTATTGAGAAGTTGTTTGCTTCTGTCTCATTGAATCCAGTAATGAAGCTGTTGCTATGACCACTGTTTTCACCTGTAATCTAAGATATATCAAAAAAGAAACTTAACAGAAAAAAAGAGAGGAAGGAACATAAATTAATTTATGTCATTTTAATTTATATGACGGTATTTGACTTAACGTCAAATTTTGAACCTATATAAAAGGTGGATAAATTAAGTACTAAAACCGACAAGTTTAAACCCTGGTTGTATCTCATAATTATATTTTTATGGCTAAAAAAAATATGTTCATAAAGAATAAAATGAAAAGTTCAAAATTAAAAAAAAGAAATCAATTATAGATATTAATTAGTTGCAAAATTCTTGTAAAAAGAAAATGTATTATATAAAATGGAACAGAAATTGAAAAGGAATATATATATATATATATATATATATATATATATTTAGGGGAGTTTATATATATACCTTGAAGCTCATGCTCTTCTATGTGGACTGTTGCAACATTTTCTAGTGGAACAGTTTTATAATCCTCAAGAAATGTCTGTCAAAGTAGAAAGGAAAAGTAAATGCATAATTAGCATAATGGATTCTAGGGATTAATTATATATATATATTTATATATGAATGGAGCTAGAATATATAAGGTTTAATTAAAAATGGGAAAATATATAATTAGTGGTTAGATTAATGAAATTACCTTCTCAAGATCTCTGTTTGACATTCCTATCCATCTCAAATTTTCCACCATTCTATCAGATTTAAAGTCATGATGATCAAAATCTCCAATATCAATGGACCTAATTACATTCTCATCTTGTTCCATGAAATTGAATGAGCCCAAATCACCATGATGATGGATTTGGTTACTATTATTAAGAGGGATTAAGAAAGAGAAGTCATCATCCATATTTGGAGCACATGATGAATTATAATTTCCACCCCATGAATAATCTTGATTTATTACATGATTTTGTGAAGCTTGTTGAATAAAACTTGATTGAGCTGGTATCTTTGCATGATCAGCATAGCTGCCAACTTGAGGGAAGTCTTGAATCTCCAATTGAGGTAATGTGAACCTATGTTGCAACCTTGCACACTCTAATGCTATATCAACCTGATCACATGTATATAGATTAGTAATATATTGTTTATTAGAAATTTTACACTATAATACCATCTAAGTAACGATCTATAAATTAAATAACAAAATTACGTACTAACATGTAAAATGATATGTAAGACATGTTACCTGTCACTCACTAATCGTACTTAAAAAATATTTACACCATCAAACCTAGTGGGTTTCGAACCTGTACCACTAGAGTGAAGGTGTGGGCAACTCTCTAACTAAACTATCATTGTAATACCATATTTATAGAAACATTAAGATATTAAATTTATAAACTAGAGCAAGTTGATGAAAACATTACGTACCTTAGATGGGGGAAATGGCAACGTTCCACAATTTGGAATGGGCTGCAAACTGTTGTTGAAAGTAAAATTAGGTTCATTTGATGACAAATATTGCATCCATTTATCATCATCAGCCTCACTTGGAGCACAAACATTATCATTAATAGGAGAACTTCCATGGACTGCCATGGATGTGGATGATGATGATGATGGCATTAATCCATGAGAACTTTCCATCATATCATGACATGATCTTCCCCCATCATGAGAGTAAACATGATCAACGCTAGATGATCTATCACTTGTTGCCGCGTTACCATAATACTGCTGCTCCCCTATTTTTGCACCATTGGTCGTATTCAAATTCTTCTTTATTACTCGGCACAGTGCATATGCATCCTGTGTATAGATAGCATTTCTGTTAGGATCGAATTCACACACACACTTGATGAATAAAGAACATAAGAACTTTAGAGAGAATGAGATGAGAGATCTAGAGAGAAACCAATATTTCTTGGTAACACCCCATGAGTAAACTTCCACGACGGTGAGGTATATTTATATTAATAAATCAGAGTATTTTTTAATTACAGAAAATAAATAGTACAGCCTAAACCGCGTAAACAGTAATTATATATACTAATCAGGCTCCACAACCTAACAATTTCAAGTCAAATTATAATTAGAGGCCTGGTCCAATGAATTAATTAGTTTAAAAATTATATTTGCGTACCTGCAAGCCATTAGCAACTTCACATTCACGTTCATCTAATCGATATTCATGCATAACCCAATCAGTTCTAGCTCCATGAGGGGCTCTCCCTCTATAATACACCAATGTTTTCTTCATCCCCACTGACCTTGTCTGTGAATTTACTTTCCTGTCCTTCCCCGTCGCCTTCCAGTATCCAGCTTTCGTTGCCCGATTTGTCCTTGATCCATTTGGATATTTACGGTCACGGGGACTGAAGAAATACCATTCTAGATCTTTGCTAGGCAATAGAGACTTTCCTGTAGTGCACAATTATTTGAGTCACAAAGTAAAAATTCATATTTCAAATGAACCAATGAAAACAAGATCTTCATGGGAAATGAAGAATGATTGAGTTAGACCAAAAAAATGAAAAACTGAAAAGGACGTGAAAGAGATTCTTGAAACATGGTAATCATCAAAGGGATTAAAATAATTTTTTTGATAAAAGGAAAAAAAAAAAAAGAGTTTCAACTCATGAAATAAAACAATATTGCAATCATGTCATTTTCTTTTTGAACACTGACTTTTGACTTCGATAAATCATCATCGAATAATCAAAGTACAGTCTTTAAGATTCAATAGAAGATCAAAAGATGTAGGGACCAACTTCCTTTAACATTTTTATATAATATTTTTATAATAAAGCATTATATGATTTTTAATTTGACTGTTAAAGTGTGATGCAAAGTGTCAATAATCAGAACATACTGGTCATTAAGCACGCGTATGGAATTACTATATGGATTTAATGATCTTGCGGGTGCTTTAATTTTCATTTTTACGTTCAAAGA